AGCTTTGATGAAAGTCCCATATGTCTATAGCCTTTTCGAAGCCGGAAAATGCTAACATCAAGATTTACAGTCCAGTTTCTAACACCAATACAGATGAGTCTGCCATTCTTTTGACTGTGTAGGACTGCAGGAGAATCTAACTTATATACCCCAAAGGTGAAAGAAAATGTAAATCCATTTTATAGGACTGAATTATAAACAATAAATTCTAACCTTTCCTAAGGATTTATTTCTCCTGCTAATACTTTCAATCCAGTGTAAAAATTATATTACTTTTCAGAAACTTTCCTATTCAGTGGACCAAAGTGAGAGCAAGGAACTCAGTGTAGGTGGATTACAGAGGAGGAGAACTAGGCAGTTTTTCATATTGCTAAAACTTAAAAAAAATACTATTTTCTAAACATCCTGAATACTTTGAAACTCTAAAATATGTTGAAAATAAACTAAGTCAAGTGAAATTATTGTACTTCCATCTCTGAGGTGAGCAGCCCACACTTCCCTTAGTTAACAGAGACCAAAAAACACCCCTACAGGGTAATTCAGGCTATCCTGAAAGGGAAGTCAAGGACTATTTGCCTCCAGTGAATACTAAGTTCGGGATAGCTCACTCAGAAGGACACATCTACATGCAGACGGAAAGACGCATCTAGCATTACCATTAGTATTAGCATTACCCTACCCTGTTTTTCCAGCTTTCCACATCTCTCATCCTCTTTGTTTCCTTGTCTTCCTTCTTCCACATTCCTGGCTACCGTCTGAATAAGCCATGTCCCAAAACAAAACCACACAGTTTAGCTTCAGTCTCTTCTCTGGGTGGTGCCCCTACCATCCCACAGCTTTCCCCAGCCTTTCATCCCTCATGTCATCCCTCCACCTGAGCTGGAGTCAGCTCCCACTAGCTATTGCCTACAGCAAGGAGGAGGACAATATGGAGCACTAGCCCCATAAGCAGCAGTTGGTGTCGCACAGATATTCTTCTTCCCATCCACAACACAGATATGTCCACACCCACTTGCTGAACTGTTTTTGCTGAACCAAATTTAATAAAACACTGTACAAGCAATTTTTTGTAACAATTGCAAGTGACTATAGAGGGGGATAAAAACGGCCAAAGAATTGGCTTGTACTATTTTAAATAACAAATAAGTATAGAGAGAGTTTCTCAATCTAGTCAGGAGAAGTCAGCTTTTGCTCTCATTCAGCTCAAAAAGATGAAAAAAATAGAAACCAGTCCTTAACAAAAAGGTACTTCTAAAAAATGAGATGAGGAGCTGTGTTGGTTGCATGAAGGTAAAAACTCCCAAGGACACTTCCCCAGCTTCTATGACTACTTCCTTAATAAGCTTCTCTTTAACACATATCCTGTTTTATTTGATTATAAAAGTGTGTAAAGGACAGTTTATACTAATTTCGGCTAAAATTACCTCTCTTTCTCTATGTAAGTAACCTCTTCACTGTTTATAACTTTCCTGAACTGTAACACACCAGCCAATGCCAGCAGTATTCATTCATATGCATTTCAAGGGGAAGAAGAGTAAGAGGGAAGGAGGGAGGGAAAAAAAGACATCTTAGCCAGAGCTACATACCAATTTCCTTGAATGAGGTTAAGAGAAAAGAAAATTCTTTTTCCCAAGTCAAAATGCTCATACAACTATTTCCTTAACAAATGCTTGTGTTTCTGTACTTTGAAATGGTCTCTGGAAGTTTGCAAAAGGAGGAAGGACTCAAATGTCAAGCATGCAGACCTGCTGTCCCTATGAACAAGTGGCAATATTAGGCATCTTTCTAAAACTGCCTTCTAAAAGGTTTTTCTTAAATCACAGAAGAAAGAATATTACCAGGTTCTGCTCAATTCTGTGCGCTGCACTGCAGACTGTCTGGGGCTTCACGTTATGAAGACAGGGCTCTCTTAACAGACACTATTCCATCTGCAGATGCTGCTGTGAGCCTTTGCAGGGAAGTAGTCCACCCCAGACTCCTGCCTCTCACGTCCATTGTACCCACGCAGACACCCAGGCAATGTGGACCTCTTGAGAAAGGTTATTGTTAATTAAGCATCAGTAGAGTGATAGAAGACAAAAGAATGATGACCTAGGACCGGATGGAGATGTATTCAAGAAAGGAACTATTAAATGTTGCTGCTCACCGTGAATTTGAACCCAAGACTAAAGCAGAAAAGTTGTTATTGGTAGTAATCACATGGATATATCCATCCTATTGATACATCTTATTCTCACCTGATGCTTGATCCAAAGGACAATAAACTCCTTGTCAGCCTATTGGTGGTGATAGGTTTACCAGTTTGATCTGTGTTGCCGACTTGTATGTCCCGGACCTTCCATTGACCAACAGACCAGTTATGGAATTTCAATTCAGATTTCCTATTCAATCTCAGTTAGCTGCCCTGCATATAAGTCTTAAATGATATAATTTCATAACTTATTTTCCACTCAGTGGATGAATCAGCAGTATAAATGAGGCAATGTTTTCGTTTTCTTCTCAGCATTCATGCACAGTTTTAAGCCTCATTTACTGGGAACTATCCAACCTTGCCATGAAGATAAAGTTAGTCATTATCTTATGAGCTTTTCTGTGGGCATGTCCACACCATGCAATGAAGGGTGGTGTAAAGACTCTTCAGTGAATGCTACCTGAGCCAGCTCTGGAATCAGAAGCTGTGTGCCACATCAGCAGGGTGCTGCAGCTGAACTAATTCACTTCTTTGGAGCCACAGCCAATTAGTATGGGTGCAGCACTGTGTCAGTGTGGCTTTTTTACTTTTGATACCTGCATGGCTACACAGTGTGGACATTTTGGCCTGCTCATAGCTAGCTGGAGGAGCTTTACACCACACTCCGTTGTGGTGTAAACATGCCCAATGACACTCATCACCACAATAGCTACGTGAGACATAAATGCTCACAGTGGCAAAGCACTGTTAAGCCTGTATCCTGCCACCTCAGCATACTTTTAACTATATTTTTAGAAACACTGACTAGCTTCTTGTGATTACTCCTTTGCTCTCACAAAGAAACCACTTCTCTTCAAAAAAACAAGATGAATTTGGAGTGCCTATCCCAAGTCATTCTGGACACCGAAGAACAAGTTAAAACATTTTCAGAAATGACAATGCAAATTTTTAATGCATTATGCTTTCACTTAAAAAAACAAGCTCTCTGTTTTCACACGTTCTTTTTTCTTTTCCTTTTTTTCCAGTGAGATTAATTTAGCATCCAAAAACAGTAATGATATTTCCTTTTGGAGGAAAGTTGGGGTTTAAAGGGCTGGGGTGAATGGTGCTAGCTTTAACTATAACCCTAAAATTTATGAGAACGCAATAAGAGTAAATATATGAGGATATAATTCACTAGAGAGAATGCCTGCATTTGACATTTAGTTTTTATATGGCAGATATAGTGTGAATCACAGATAGACTGTGTCCATTCCATATACTACCGCATGTAAGAGTGTTTCTATCAGAGACACAGATTAGTCATGAGCCAGCAGGTTTGAGAAACACAAAGACGTAAATTACAAAGCAACGTGCAAGGATTGAGCTGCACGACTCCCATTAACATCAATGGGATTTAACTGTGTGACTCCCTGTGCACCACTTTGCAAATTTATCCTAAATTGACTAGCGTGGTAATTCCTGGACAGCGTGCAGTGGGGAAGTGACTGTTTCTATAAACACAAGGGAACTGTCAGCTCTCAAACGTCTCCATGTTACAGTCAACAAAGAACATTCAAAGAAACGTTTTGCTCCCTACATCACAGGAGGATGGGATATAAAGGCACTCACTCAGAACTCTAGCTCCATAGGGGAATCCAATTCCAGAAATTCAATTTTGAGAAAAAAAAAAACAAAACCTGTTAATGCACTCTCGTGCTGCCAGATTTCAGACCTGCCAAGCCTAAAAAGTCTGATCCACTTATACCACATAAGAAATTAGGTAACAGACAAGGGCAGTTCCATATTCCTTCTACTAAAATGGGCTGAGAAATGCAAAGGAACATCTGATTTCACTTTGACATTGCCCTTCCTGAAAAATGATTTGGGATTTGAGCGTAAGTTTTTTTCTTATTTGTTTTCTTCTAAAAAAGGTTTACTCCTTTGCTTCCCTCTGCTCTCATAAAAACTCTCTCATTCTTTCATTATTAGGTAGCTAGAGATCTTGCTCACATTTTATTATCTTCACATACTAGCTTGAACTGTTGTATTCCTGGCTGAATAAAGGAGCACCGATCTCATTTGTACTGTTTATTTCCCAGAGCAGAGCACGCATGTTAAATGGATACATAAATCAGTATGCAGGACAGCAGAACACTACCATGCAGGTGCTGTTCATTCACTGGGGGAAGGAGACAGTCCAGGGAATATTTGGAAAAGTCTTTTATAAAAAGTCATGACGGAAACAAAAATTATGTCTCTTTCATCTAACTAAACAGTCACTTTTAGATTTTCAGAGCTATCTTTAGATTTCTCTTACAGAGAAATAAAATCATATGTCCTTATCTTTTCTTTCACCTGCAGTGACAACAGGGATGAAAGAAGTCTTCCAGCTGTTTCAATCCTCTAGCTTTATATTCTCCAGGTGTTCAACAGTAGCTGGATTTTTCAGGTACTTTCTTGTCTGGCTGTGGGAGAGGCCCAATAGCTTTCAAACTTGTGACATGATGAATGCTGTCATATATGTAGATGCCGAAAATGTCATGGGAATGTTTTCATATCCATCTGTGCAAAATCAAAGTTCACATGAAGATCCCGGCTCTGCAACCATGAGTAGAACGTGACTGTAGCACTCATTCACTTTAGTCCCAGTCCATGGAAGACAGTTCCTGCTGCAAAACGGTCTTCTTTTCCCTTAGAAAAGAGTGGGAATTGAGGGTCAGACTTTGGTCTGTGCTGTTATAAATCAGCATAGATTCACTAATGCTAGGCTAGTTACTGTCACCTAAATAGCTGGTCCCATCTCTCTCAAAGACATCCACAACCTGTGCATTTGTGCCACCAGACCGCAGCTCTGTACTGCTGTCCTGGAAATAGCCCCATCAGCTCTATGTTTGACCTACAGCTTTTGCCTACTCACTGTGATGGGATACACCTAAACACCGTTGTCAGTCTGACTGTATCACCTTTTGAAATCATCCCTCTGGTGTAAACTTATTTGGGCGAACGTTGGTCCCACTTAACTCTAGCACACACAGCTCTTAAAAGCTACTTCTTCAAGAAAGGAAAACCTTGGGAAGTAAGGGGTTAAGAAGACAGAATTTCTTAATATGGAAAAAGCTCTCCCTTGCACTGAAATTGTGGGGAAAAAAAGGAACAAGTAGATTTTGTCCCATGATTTCAAATAGATTTTAAGGGCTTTTAAATTACTTTTTCAAGTATATGCAATTTTGTTTCAATATGTACCCCTTTAATTTGTTGCTAGGCAGCACCCTGGCTTCTCAAATAAAAATCAAGTCAGCACCTACTTTCTCCAAAGGAATCTGGATCCCTCTTTTCTGTTTCCAGCCTTTCTCTATCTTTTTTGTGGTATAGAAAGAATATGAAGGAAATAAAGAAGGCTGAGGGACGTGGATATTCATCTCTTTCATATGCATTTCTGACCACTCCACTGGATTTATCAGAACTCTTCAGTGGATCTAACTTGCTTCCAATTCAAACTGATTTTTCCGATCAGCAGTATAACATACTATAAAGCTGCCTCGTTTCCCTTGTCTCACAGAGCTTTCGTCACCAGGTCAACCAGACCATCACCATTGGGCAATACCAATTCTACCTCTCCTAGCTCTCTTTCCTTCTCCCACAGAAAGAATATCTAAGCAACTCCTTTGCCTGAAAAAATTTAACTGTCCTCTAGCATAGCTAGGGTGTGTAAAAGAACATTTGGGGCAAATTCTTCCAAAAATTAAAGAGGAAGAGAAATGAATTATTCTGGACTGAGAGTGAGAATGAAGCAGGTGACAAAATAGAGCTTTTCAGCTATCAGACTCGGATGTGTTAATCACTACAGCGTCATGCTATTCAGTATATGCTACAGTCCTATATTGTGCAGAAGGTCAGATTAAATAGGCATAATGGCCTTAAAATGTAAGAACTAAAAGGGAAAAAGGGAAACCAATTTTTGAATATCAAAATGATTGCTACATACTTTATGGTATGCAAATATTCTTTTCTTTTAAGGGAAGAAAAGAGAATGTGAAGTAGCTGACATCTACCCATGCTTTAAAATACAACTGGGCTGTCTTCTGGTGAGAATATGTTTTACACAATGTGATCCAGTTGTGCTGTTCTACTGCATGTGTGAATGCTGTCGCTGCCAATAAGCATGCTTCTCAATAGGTACTCTGATAAAAGTTAATTGATATTAACAGATATTTCTGTTCTCGGAGAGAGAATGTTGTGAATAAACAACAGGAGTGCATCCAATACTCTAAAATGTTTATTATAAGGCACCAGATTCAATTTTATTACTTCTCAAAGGCAGTATTCTTAAGGTCAAACCTTCCTGAAGAAAGTAGCTGATGATTTTTTTTCAAATTTCTTTTCCGCTGCTTATATAACATCAATATCACTGGCATAAATTTTGTTTTATATAGAGCTTGTTGAGCACTTCTGAACTATGCTGGGTACTTTCTACCATCTTTAGTGTGAAACAGTACATGTGCATGAGGTGAGAAAAGGAACCTCACAAGACAACGTTGTAGACCTGTGGTACAAATGTGGCAACAGAGGGAGACGATACGGAAAGATTAGCAGCAAAGCTAAGTTACTCTTCTTGGGTTATTCTTTTTGGTAATTTATTATTATTGCCATTTATATTATGCCAGTCTCTGAAAGCCCCAGTAAGGATCTGGTCTATCCTGCAATATTGCATCTTGGGTGCAATATTAAGACAAGTAAAGCCATGAACCCCAAAATATGGGGCTGGAATTGTGAAATAAAACATATGGGTTTCAAAAGCTACAGTCAGACACATGTAAGTCATGTCTAAGTATATATCATTACTAGCCTATTATATAAATTTTATAGACCTCTCCACTCTATGATTCAGTCTATTAAATTAATTGTTTGGATAAGAAGCTCCCATTTGAACAAGAAGCTCTCAAGAAGTTCCCATACCAGATTTTTCTAGTCCTTAAATATTCCCTGAGTTAGAATATGGAATGCTGGTCCACCAAAATGAATGAAAAAAACTGATAAAGGACAGTCATAGATGGCATCAGCTTCCTTCCATACTCTCCATTCAGTGTCTTTCTGAGTCTAGCGGAAGATCAGCAGGTATCTAATTCCCCTCTTTATTATCTAAGGATTCTCATTTTCATCTTCCCATTTGAGGAGTAACTAATACTTTTGTATCACTTTGCCCCTCTATTAGCACTGAATCTCCTGAGGCCTTTTAAAGTGGATTCTCAGATTAATATCAGCTGTCCTCACAGTCTCTTCATTCAAAATGCACTGAAAAGCTCTGAGAGCGAACTGTGTGTTGGATAATTATCCCGATATCTTAGCATGGTGAAAGGATACACACATCCCTTTCATGTCTGTGTCGTTCTAAGCGGTTAGCAGTTCAAGACTGTTAGCTCTGATTCAGATACTAAAAGCAAACCTGTCTCAGACTTGCATTTTTTTTCAAAACTGCTCTGAAAAAGATCAGTGCATTTCTATTATTGCAGCATCACTGGGAAAAATATACAGAAACAAAAACAGTTCATCCACCACTCAAAGTACTACTGCTGCCAGAATACTCCTTTGCCCCAAGCATTTTCCTTCCCCAATGAAAACACTTCTGCTGATACTGGAATGACCTGTACAAATCTCTGCAGTTGCTTCTGCTGATGAATCGTAATCGTCTCTGCACGTGTGTGTGTGTGTGTCTGTGTGTCTGTGTGTGTGTGTGTGTATACTCAGGCATTTAGACCTCTTTTTCCATGGCGTGAGGGGCGGATATTTAATCATTCCCAAGATTTTCTAGAAATCCATGCTGATCGCTGCTGGCAGCAAGCCCTTCAACAGGGAATTCATCTGGCCCAGAACATATAGTCAAGTATACTGAACGGCAAGCTCCATTATGATCAGCTTTTTAATTAAAGCTCTGGTTCCCACATTCATGCGGTTATAAAAGACACTGGTTCATTTATTTATTTATTCTTCTATATTGGCTGTTTCTGGTCTTCATGCAAAGAAAAATTAGCAGGAAAAACTGAAAATGTGATTACAAGAGGTTCAAAAACATAAATATGAAAATCATCTACTGAATTATGTTGAAAGTATTCTTTGAAATGTTCCAATTAGTTTGTTCTACTGAAACAATTAGCTAGTTATATTGAAAAGATCATTCTGCAGCCAATCTATGATCTCTTCAGACTTGGGGCTGGAAGTTATGTAGAAAACCCTATGGATGTGACAGAAACCCAAAACATCTTATATTTGATTGTCTGTAAGTGAGAGAATTCCTGAATCTCAGCTATGTTCAGCAGTCTGATTAAATAATGGTATTTATTATTTGTATCTATATTTATCTTAAAAAGTCCCCTCTCTTCTTTGTCCTGACTTACTGAACCTCCCCTATATAATGATATATGGCTGAACCAATTCCCCGAAGAACAAGACGTACAAAAAATTAGTCTGTCATGCTATCAGATTCATATTTTGCTCCTCGATTCTTATGGTGGAGAACTCATACTTTTTGCCCATAGAGGTGGTTTATAGTTAATGAGTCCTTTCTCTTTGTCTGACTGGCATCAGCTACAAGAGAAACTGGTTTCCTACAGGTTTCTCCTCTCTAAGTTCTCTCTCCTTTCCCCATTCGCTCCCCCACTGCTTATTATCACAAGGAATTGAGTCATTTCCAGAAAAAGTAAAGCCAAAAGGCCCCAGCAGAAACTGAACTCAAAGCGCAGTGAGGGCCTGGGACCTTCCCATCACACTGGCACCAGTGAGGTCAGCTGCTGGGCTGGCCAGAGGGAAACATTATGCAGTTAGGCACCTTTTCTATACTCTATCCAGGCAAGCTCATTTATATACAACGTTTGTCAGTATTATCAGGGTCATTTAATTTCAGTTTGATACATTCTCAATAAGAAGATCTGAAATAAAAACAAACAAAAACCCAACGTTTCTTCGACTTTCAAATCAGTATGGCATAGAGATCCATTTCACTGCTTCATTTTTCTCTTAGTGTCCTGACCAAGGAATTTGAGGTGGTTAGATATAACCATTGAATTCAAGACTTAGACTTATGTAGATGTAACAAATGTCTTACCTGACAGGAGGAGGCAGTCAGAAAGTTTTCTTCATTTTTTTCTAAGACTGCATCACAATAGAACAACAGTAATTTTAGTTCATTAAGTCTGAAAATAAGTTAGCGCGTAGACTTGAAACTTTCGTAAGTAGAAGTGGTGTCCACAAACGTGCCAAACAGCAGGACTTCATTCCCGCTTATTAATCCTTCCTTAATTTAACATCATTCAGCGATATCACATCTGGATCTGAATGTGATTGACAGGAACCAAGACCAAATATTATTTTCCAGACCTCCGGAAGTTTCATTCTTTGGGGAGAAATGCTTCTTGGAGTGATGATATTTAAAATCTTAAATGTCTAAATTAATAGCATTCATCAGAGTGCTGCCAGTAACGAGGATGGATAAGAAGCATATACATAGACACACAAGGGACATATGCAGTGCTCACTTTTTACAGATTTCAGCTATCTTTTCCTTATAATTGGAGGCTGGAGATTGAAAGCTTCTTTACCCTTCACCTTAAAAAGAAAGCAATCCAGGAAAAAAAAAGAAAGGAAACTTACAGTAAAAATGAGGAAAAAACATTCTTCACCTCAACACCAGCCTTGTTCATTTGCCAAAACTTGTTCCCTTTGCCATGTAGAGTGCTGATCAGAGAGAAGCAGAGGATGGCTGAATGACTGAAATTTCATTTAGATTTGTTAGAAGTTTTACATACTGAACTGATTGGGTTATCAAAAATAATATTATTGTCTAAAACCTCTACAAGGAATAAATATTAATTCAGTTAATGAAATATGGCTCCATAGAATGAGGGGTAGTATTGCACAGAAAGAAGATTATGTGCTGCATCAAACGCTTTGCTTTAAATACAGTGTTAAAAAAATCTTCCTATTTACACACATATAAACTGAACACTTATTTAACCCTTCTATAGGCTGGATTAGCAACAAAAGGACACTGAGATACCCTCTTAAACAATTCTTCTTATAGGTATCCAATCCACTGGCCTATTTTTTCAAAAACACTGGCACCTAAAGACTATATTTATTTTAAAATATAGTTTAAAAAAGCAGAAAGGAAATTCTACAGCCAGCCACAGAAGAGATACAGCATGGCATAAACCTATCTTTGCACTGCTTATCTTATAAATTTGTTTTAAGAACTCGTAAGATGCATCTGCTTTCAAAAGCGAGGTGGACAGGCAATAGCCTACAATAAAACTACGAAAGTATTTTATCTCGTACATAATAAGACTATCATGAAATATTGTACACCATGCGTAACAACCGTTTTTGTTGAGATATAGAGATCTGTTGATTCAGGTAAAACATTATAAATTTACCACTTTGTAAATTCGGGTAAGAACAAAAACTAAGGATAAAAAAGAGTGGTCACGATTGTTGATAGATTCAAATCTTCCATTACTGATTTAAATATTTTTTATCATAATTATGCTAATCGCTCACCAAGGATTTAGAAAATTTTCTCCTTTTCAGTTCCTGGAGTCTTTCAGTAGTATCATGAGACACCAAAACAAGGAGTTCTGTATGTAGTTTGCAAAAACTTATTTGGCAAGCATCTTTCAGTAGCAGGAAATAACTGTTAGCCGATAGCAGATAATCACAATCCCTAGTGTTCTGGTCACAGAAATTACTATGGTATTCATCAGGTAGGAGAAAAATAACTCATTTGTGTTAGTAACTATGCCAAAACAGTTGGTACTGTAAAGTCTGAAGGAGCATACACGGTATGCATAGCTTTTATTTTCCTGGAAAAGTTACAATCAGATAAAATACATTCATTGGCTTTAAATCTCAGAGAAAGCTATCCAAGACAGTCACTGTAAATCTATCATTCAGTGATGTCTGTTATATTTCACTGAGCCTTTGATTTTCATTTCTATATACAGCTTCAGGTGGAGACATTTTGGCTAGCATTAATGCGATAACATTAATAGTCTCCTTGCACAATTTTTTGAGTGCCTAACAAAGTAATTTATTACTTAACTTCAGGAAGTTATAGCACGAAGAACAAACTTGTAGGCTACAATCCATTAAAGCTGTGTACAAGTGTTTGGATTTCTCAAGTCACGGGTTGAGTATCCAAGGTAAGTGAAAAAGACGACGACTTAGCTGCCTGAAACAAAAGAACTTTTGTAATTAGAATGAGGTTGAAATTCCCAGCATTGACATCACAGATTAGTGTTCTCTTCATGGGATTTCAATGCAGTAAAATAATAAAGAGAATACAGTAGGAGGATAAACCAGGAAGGAATTTAACTGACGCCCATTGTAATAAAATGATAAATAATAATGCACTGAATATGTTGACATATTCTTATGATATTCAGTGCCCTGTATGCTACCTCCAGCAGACAAGTCAGCCAAAAGCTATGAGGTACAGGATGTTAGTAGCCAAGTACTTACGTCCTGTGCTGTGGATGGAACTTTTGAGTCGTCTCCACTGCTTTGAGACAAGCTTTGACAGATGCAAGCCACAGCTGTGCACAGAAGTGCTGCTACTGAGCTTGGAAATTTTTCTAACACAGTTTCTGCCAGCTTTAAAAAAACATGGTTCATTTATAGAAAAGAAAAACCATCTGTGCCTCAGAACATACTGGTGCCGGACTGTCAAGTTTTCTTCCATCAGCTTGCTCTGTATTCTACTAGTTGCAAACTAGTATCTAGTAAACCTAACTTCCCTGCCAGGGTTACATCGCCAAGCTTGATAGGAGAGAGACAGATTCCTTGCACTGCAAACTGTCATATTTTGCAATTGCTAATTTATAACTCTCTTGGGTATGTTGCGGTAATTCTTCCACCTCATATTTACCTAATTTAGCACTCCTTACTTAAGCAAATGTTCAGTTCTACTCCCACTAGGACTCCTGCCTGAGAAAAGAGGCCTGAACAGGTCCTAGCAGAAAAGAAATAATAATAAGGTAAATCCCACAATGGTGGAAAGGCTACATTCCATGTATACTAAAACTAAACCAGCTGAAAACTGCTTCAGCATATTACACTTGAGGGGGTTTCATGTGTGAACTTGAAAAGCTGCCTTACAGTGGTCAGAAATATGTTTTGAGATGTCAACTTTATGGAGTAACAGAATTATGTGAAATTGTGGCTGGAACACTAAAGCAGATAAGAATACCCTTGAACTTGGCTAACTTCTGAAGTAGTTATTCATCCCAAACATTCCCAGCTGGTTTTATGGCTCCAGAACTATTATAAAATATATATTTTCAAAAGTCTTCAATTAGGGAAAAATATCAGCTAGAAAATGGCTTTTGCATTTGAAGAAGTTTAAATCTGCTTGTGGTGCTCCTGGTCTCTTCAAATGAAGAAATTCTCAGTATATTTAAATCTAAGAGAGAAGATAATCATGGAACTACAACATTTAAGTTCATTTTTAGCTAGTTGACAGTTTTCAAAGCTCATTTTCACTAGGACAGTTGTAAAAAAAAAAAACTGTCTTTCAAAAAAAATCCAAGAAAAACTAATTGTATTTTAATTAACTTAGTCCTACCTCTTCAAGAAAGTTATAAATAGATAAAGTTATGCATTTATTTTTTTAATTATAAGATTGAAGTCAAAAATTTTGTCAATTCTGCAGATATATCAGAAAGTTTAAGCAGGCAGTTTTAAAAAAAAAAAAAACTGTCTTTCAAAAAAAATCCAAGAAAAACTAATTGTATTTTAATTAACTTAGTCCTACCTCTTCAAGAAAGTTATAAATAGATAAAGTTATGCATTTATTTTTTTAATTATAAGATTGAAGTCAAAAATTTTGTCAATTCTGCAGATATATCAGAAAGTTTAAGCACACAGAACGTCCATGAAATATTCAGTCTTTATTATAACCTTCAACCACAAGAGGTTAGAAACAGACAACAGATACAGCCTCTGCCAAAAAAAAAAAACTTAAAAGGTGCACAGTCAAATTGCAAATCTAATAAAGGTGTCTTTTGCAGGGAACTGCTCCTGTAGTAGCCTCTATCATGAAGCAACTGGCATAGGCTGCAAAACTATGCAGTGGCTTGTTTTATATGATTTTGAATTAAAAGATGTGACTATCTCAGACTCCCTGAGTCTGCATGATTTCATGTGAACTCAGGTTAAGGCTGCCTGGTCCACCTGCAAATGGCTAGAAAATTATTTCTTGCACTTGTGTTACCATTAACTCCATCTCAGGATACAAGTAAGACAATAACACGGTGGCAGACTAAAGAGAAGTAAGAGGGATCATGCAGAGCAAAAGACCCTGGAGAAACAGGTTCCTGGTTTTGAAGACAGAATATCTAGACTGCAGTTTACATTTTGTTGCCATTTCAATCAACTTTTCTGAGCAAAACGCTAGAAAGTACCCTACTGAGACATTGGTATAAAGTAGAAGCAAGTCCAGAACAAGCTCTCACAGTATATTCCAACATCAGTCCTTTGTACGTTAAGAGGCTAGAGCAGGAAAGCTTTTAATTCCTCTTTTTACTCCGTTATAAGCCTCTGCTTTCCATATTTTCAGTCAGAGCCAGCTGGGGGGAGGGAATTTCAGGGGGAGGGTTGGTTTTTTACTAAATGCTTTCTTTTTTATCTGAATAGATAACTTTTCAAAATAAAGCCTTTCAAAGAAAACATATTGGTTACAATTAATTGTTGTCAGTGAGGACTGTCAGGTCCCGATGGAAAATCTGGGCAACAGAGAGGAGCCAGAGGAGCGGCGTGAGCCTGCGAGACCCAAGTTGCACCACCAGCCCAGGCAGACCAAGCCCTCCATTTGGGATCACCCTGCTGGAGGAACACCTTAGCCACTGGATTGCTGGGAGAGAGGATTGATATTAACTCACAGCTGCCTGTGACAATTTAGAAATGCTTGTTTTCATATCTCGCTGAAAAAAATAAAAGGCTTAGACTTGGAAATTTCACAGAATGGAGTAGCTCTTTTGGTCTCATCACTCAGTTTATCCTTTTCCCCCAAACCCAGTTTTTTCCAATATACTTACAGAAAAGCTTTTCACAGTAGCCATTTTGATGTTAGAAATCTGGAGGAAAACGATAGTCACTCAATCTTTCTCAGAGGCTTTACTTTCATCTCTTCTCATTATCCTCCTAAATTTAAAATGTATCTTTATAATAATGAGAAAAATTAAAGAAGGAGTATCACAGCTCATGCAACAGATATGAACTCCATGGTAAATGCTTTCGATTATAGGACTAACGGCACTTGGCATAAGTTAAAGAAGACATGCCTCTCCTGAATCCCACCCCAAGTACAACTGGAAGAAGTTGACCACACTCCAGCTGTTTACGATAGCTCATCATGATCTCAAGAAACCAGACTGAATAAGAAAACTCCTCCCTTCGAAATTTCTCCTCTAAAAAGACCGGCTATTGTCTCAAAACAGAAACAAAGATATGACTTAAGACGAACAAATGCTGCCCCTTACCTTTATGCTGAAATATATCTATAGTCGCCATCGACATAGGATCAAATTATGCAACACTTTTTTTTTGTGAGTTTTCTTCTCAGGGAACAAAGGTGTCTGACTCAGTAAGTTGCCATTCAGTTAAATAAGGCAGAATCACAACCACTTATTGTTAAATGACAGCGTTAACTAGGATCTTCTCCATAGTTTACTGGCCTTTCCTTGCCCTTTCTCTCAATTTCACTTTTGGCCTTTTTGTTCTTATATTAAAAGCAGTCAGAATAAAGCCCCGACAAAATCCATATTTGTACATGATTCTTTTCTAAGGAACTGGATTTCAGCAACTTTCCACAGCAACAAGGTTTTAATACAGTCAGTCCTTCTAAGGATGGACACTCTGACAGGAAGGTCGGTAATGAGTTGGCTGCATGCCCACCCTCTCTGGGTGGCGAGAGGCAGAAATGCTAAGTAAACATACACCCTGCAGTGGGATGAATGTGATATAAAGATAAGCTCAGCCAGTCAAGTAAGCAGATACTTGGGTTTGCAAGATTTAAGTTGGTGTCAGAATCTTGTCCTTGCTCAAAAGCACTCAAATGTCAATCAACTAAAAACAGACTAACTTCAAGCACAGAAGTATGAGCTGTCTGCTTAAGAATACACAAGTGTAGAATTCCAAAATGGAAGAAGGCAACTCATAGGCACAGAGGCAACTTGTTTTTTAAAAACAGAGCTATGATGATTACCTGCCAAGAAATCCAAATTTTCACTTTCCTGAGGGGTCTAGCAGCTTTTGACATATGCAGAAAGAGCCATTTTAAATCCTGCTTCCAATGACTTCTGGAGATCCTCTGTCCCAAGCGTTAATTCCACCTTTCCTTTGGCATTAGAAGGCACCAGTTATCAGCTTGCGCCAGTGGTCCTACCCTCTGCAGTTCACCACAAAGCCTTGCAAAGGATGGCAGAATCAACCTCGCTTTAGTAGATAAACCGACTAAATACACCGATATTATTGGTCTGCTCGAAGGCTACGGTAAAAAGGGAGCTGGGTTTGCCTGCAGTATGACAGGCCTTAGCTTTTACATTAGTGAGCATGAAACTTTCTGTTCCATACATCACTCTCTCTGTGATACTCACTCTCACCAGGAGCTGCTGAGAGCACTGCCAATCCGCACTGTTAGTCAATGATGTTCATCAAGCAGTCGTCTGACCTTTTGTACCTTTTCCCTCCTCCAGGGAGTGTCCTTCTGTAAAGAAACACAGCAGCCCAAAGGACACAAAAAAAACAAGGTCTTCATTGCTCACAGAAGATAAGACATTAGACAAACAAAGTGGTCACCTCATAATCAAGTTTCGTACACCACTTACAGATCCCTAAAGCTGGCATGTGTTTTTGACTCCTAATCTCTTTATGATTACTCAGCAGTGCACAGTTTCATCCAGCAATGGTCAAGAGGACAACGCGTTTGCCCATTTTCCCCCGCCTGAGCTTGTTGCCTTTATTGATTACTATCAGCTGTAAAGCGTGTGAATTGTGGGTGCTCCAGGGGTTTTCTTGACAGCTAACTAAGCCTGAGGCAAATACAGACTCATGCAGCTCCAAACAATCCTACCTGGGTTTCCTTCTCCTCCCCCTCTCCACCATGCACTGCATTTAATGGTAATTGTTTATGATAAGGAGATTGTAATTAGGAACATGCACTGGCATAAGTGTCCGGCATTTCATATGCCAAGCATGTGCCACCACAGCAGTCAAGATACCTCCAAAGATTCTTTTAAAATTTATGATTTTCCTATAGCAGGTAAAGAATCCCTTCCCCCTATGCACAAATACATTTATGCAGCTTAACTCCACTTTCTTGTGACAGCTAATTCAAACACAGCCAGAGTTAATAACACTGCATGAACAACATTGTTAGTTCTTTCCAGGTAAGTAGGAGACAAACATCACAGAAACCAGCACAGTGGGCTTTTAAAATGGCAGTCAAGCAGAGAAATTTGGGGCTAAACGTATGCATAGACAGCTGTCCAATGTCTCATTCGCAGCCCAGTGCTCATCTGTGGATGAGAGACAGTTTGGTGAGCTTGCCTTGTCTGTGCATTTGCTGTACGTGCTGTACAGATTATTAAAGGATTTCAGAGTATAAGAGGAAGATATTTAGGTTGCATAGCTTCCTTACAAGCATGCACAGCTCCTGGGCAATCCACAGAGACTCAGAGAAGACACTACTCCAGTGAGAATGGGTGGTTTGGGTTTGTAACAAACAGCAGTGGGAAAGGCAGTTTGAGTCTTATGTTAACACTCTGTCTTTAAAAGCTGCTTATTTATTCAAGCAATCAACATGTTGACTCAATTCTGTTTGGCTAGAGGTAATGTCTGTACCATGCATTCAACTTCCAACCAAATTAGAGTGCAAGTTAGGATTCTTTGCCTCTGGCTGACAGTCTTACACAGCTGTCAAGACAGCAGAAGGCTTACTCTTCAGGTAAATGGAGAGACCTGCATTGCTATGGCATGGTTCCTGCTAATCATTTTATCTGATGCTGCCATAAGTAAGATCCACCAAAGAAGAAATGCATACCATGCCCACAATTAACATACTCTGCTAATTGAGTTTCCTTGCACAACAATGTGCTTTTAGGAAAAATGAAAGAAAAAATCTTATATGTAATTGATGGAATTAATGCCTCAACCTTTTAGGATCTTACTACATATATAAAGAACAAAACTATTGTAGTCACGTGTTTTAACTAGATTTAGAGAAGATTCCTGAGCTACAGGAACTTGTATAAATATTTTTTAGTGAAAGTTGATCTGAAAGATAATACTCATCCAAACTAATCCTCTTCCTGAAGTGAAGATACAACCACCACTCACAGGTGATGGTTTTCACAACAAATTATCAGACAGCTACGACTTTAAAATTTTATCATTCTACCTAATTGGAGTGTAATAAATGGAAGTGACTGAGAATCTCAAGGACAGACTATGCATCAACCAGCCTTTATCCACCAACCCTATACAGAGTAACCTACTCCCAAGAGTCTAATAATGCCAAGAAAGCTTTTAGAATGCCCTTGAGAACAAGCAGCTTTTGATGAATCAGGTCCAAAGTATACAGGGGCTAAAGTCTGGAAGGTTTTTGGGTAGTGTTACCCCTTCTGACTGCAGTGGCTTCCAAAAACTCGGGGTCCTGTGTATCACAGTTAAGAGACAAAGGTATTGTTGCAGACTTTGAACTTTAAAGCATTTCTACTCCATTACAAAACCTGTAAAATCAATTTGTGATTTTTTTGTCTTTCTCTACATGTCTCTCTATATTAAACTTCCACTGTAATTCACCAAAATAACAGCTGTTGGAATCAATAAAGAATTTCTTTCCAATTTTCACATAGAATATATGCTTAAAACACAGAGTGAAATGATCACTTTGCAGTGGAGGGATTAAGGATTGGATTTTGTTTCTTCAAGTACCTCATTGTGGAGGAAAACAAAGCATTCATAGGCATGGATTTGTCCCACCTAATTTTAGACGCTTAAATCATATATCTAAACTAAAACCTCAGTTATCCACTACTTTTTCTAAGCAAGCAAAAAGCCAGAAATCAATTCCGACATTATGCGAGCTTGCTTCGGCTTCTAGAGGTACCTGTGTTTTGTACTGACCAGATCTGTAATTTAGACATATTGTTAAGTGTTTGGAAATAAGCAGGAGGAATCTGGGCTGCAATGAACCTCATGTACAAACATTACAAAACTGCTCAATTCACTATGGCTTTTCTGCTGTGCAGATCACAAAAGAAAGATTGGGTCGACATCACCCTTGCTCCAGTGGCTATCTTTCCCTCAACTTCACAGGCATTAATAGCAATTACCTCTTACCTCTTCACAGAGCAGAGCTATGGTTCCCTGTTTCTTCCCTCTTTGCACTAAGATAAGAGTGATGACCAGTCCGGCTTTTATAACAGATTATTTTTCATCTGGCCAGTCAATATAGATTTGCTTTTCTTAGGAAAAAAAAAAATCTTAGCTATTATGAGAAGTACTGTTCTAAGGCATGATCAACAGCATTAAATATGAGAAGCAACCCTTACATTTAGATTGCTTTTCAATTATGAAAGATTATGACCTTTTCCTGAGGTACCTTTGCAATGGAAGTGTTTGCAGCAGACCTTTGAAATTCAGCAGAGAAAGCCCTTGAGCTAAAGTAGTGCTTTCCCCTGTCTTATGGAATTCTGTTCAGTTTTAGCTGCAGTCTCAACTGTTAAAAAAATAAAAAAATCACATTTCCTTTCTTTCTCTTGCATTCCCCAGAACATAAGAACAGCTGCACTGAGTCAGACTAAAGGTCCACCTAGCTCAGTTTCCTGTCTCTGACACTGGCCAGTAGCAGATGTTTAGGGAGAATGTATAAAATATAAGGCATATATACAATGATATTTCCCCATAAATCTCCCACCTTCTGGCAGTCAGCAGTTTAGGGACTTCCTGAGCCTAATTTAAAGCCCCCCATTCTGTATATATGATTAGACTGTATATTCCACATGTGCATTACTTTGCATTTATCAACATGAATTTTGTCTGCCCGGTCATTCAGTATCATCGGATCAGTCTTTAGACTCTATTTTAGTTTTTTATGACTCTGAACAATCTGATATCATCACCAACCTTTTTCACCTAACACTTCACTGCTTTTTCCACATTACTTAGGAATATCTTGAATGGCACGAGTTCCAGAACAAGTCCTGTGATATTCCAGCAGTAATCCTATTCCATTCTGAAAAAAGACCATTTATTTCTACTCTTAACTTTTTGGATACTTTTCATCCCTTGACAGCTTTATTTCCTTAAGAACCTTTACTAAGAGCTCCTGATAAAGCTTTTGGGACACCTAAGTATGCAATATCAACCAGGGCAAGCCTATCCACATGACCCTTTACTCCTTCAAAGAACTCTAATGGATTCGTGAGGAGACACTTTTCTCTTCAAAAGCTGTGGTGACTCTTTCCCATTAGATCATATGTATCTGTTTGTGTATTCTTTCTCTTATCTATTACTGTTTACATCAATTTTTCCTAGTAAGGAAAACAGACTTACTGATTCGTAACTCTGGAATCCATTTTAGACACTGCTGTTATGTTTGCACCCTCTAATCCCATAGTACAGAGGTCAATGTAGAGATAGGTTATATACTACTGCAGTGTCCACACATTCCTTAAGTTTCTTTAGAAGCTGTGGATGAACAGCTATGAAAAATTGTTACTATTCTTTGTATTGCTTTGTACTAAATCATGTCCTATTAATACATGGTTTTCAGAGATTTCCTCCAAGTCATCCCACATAAAAAATGCCAGGACTGTAAAAGAATCTCCCTACCTTGTCCCAGAGTTAACACTAATGAAAAAAATTTTGCTTGCCTGGATTTCTGCTACTAGTCTGTCTTGTTCTGCTATTGAACTATGCCAGGTATGTTAGGGTCACAAAGATGATTAAGGGTTGGACCATCTCTCACACAAAGAGAGGCTAAGAGAGCTGGGGTTGTTTAGCATGGACAAGAGAAGGCTCAGCGGAACCTTATCCATGGGTGTAAATATCTGAGGGGAGCAAGTAAAGAGGATGGGTCCAAACTCTTCTCAGTGGTGCCCAGTGACAGGACAAGAGGCAGCAGGCACAAACTGAAACATAAGAAGTTCCATCTGAACGTAAGAAAAAACTTTTTCCTGTGAGGGTGCTTGAACACTAGAGGTTTCTCAGAGAGATTGTGGAGTCTCCATCCTTGGAGACCTTCAAACCTCAACCAGACACAGTGCTGGGCAAACGGCTCTAGCTGACCCTGCTTGAGTAGGGGGGTTGGACTAGATGATCTCCAGAAGTCCCTTTTGACCCCAGCTATTCTGTAATTCTTTGTAGTTCTCTCTGTTTCTTTTCAAGTCTTTTTAGGCAGATAGCATACATTTATTCTAAGTAAGTAACATTGTCTTTTATGTAACCAGCATATTTATCATTTTAACTGTCCCTCTCAATAAGCTGCCCTAATTTTATGTAAATTTCCTTTTGGGATTTATATGATAGAGGATTTTTTTTATTTTTCACTACCACCAGTTTATTGAGTTTTAGTACATTAGGGTAGTGTTACATTTTTGTTCTTTATAATAATATTTTGTGATAGATCCCCAGGCTTCCACAAGATTGCATCAGGAACTACCCCTTCTCATAGTCACTCTTAAATTTTGTATCAAATAGTTAATATAAAAGCCCAAAAGGATATTTTTCTCACTTCAGGTTAGGATTTTCCATGCATGGGAATTCTGCATCACTTGTTGATAATTAGATTATTTATTTTGTTTGATTCTAAGCTTTCCAAAAAACATCAAAACTACTTTCCAATGAGTCTATTCTGTTCTTTGCTGTTTCCAAGCTTGATTTTATCAATTTCTGTTATATCTTTTTCCTTAAAAATTGAGAGGTTTAATCACTTTACGTTAGGTTAAAAATCTTGAATTATGTGCTTATCTATTCTATCAGCTTTTCCTCGTTTCTTAATTTGAAAGCTCTCCTGTAACTTTTTTAGTTTATATTAGAATTATTGAAAATAGACCAAGGAAAATTCTTAGTCATCAGGTTACTCCCTCTGCTCTAGGACACTTCTTTTCGTTTGGCCTGTTCTTGAAGATCCCCAAAAATGGAAAGCTAACTTTTCTTCCCAGGAGCTCTATTGAAGTCTATTCACCTCTTTTATAAGAAGAGAACATTGCTTTACCTCTAACTGGAAACTTCCTTGCTGAAGTTTTCTTCTTGCTTAGCCACCACGGACCTGAAGAAAAGACGGTATGAGAAGAAAAGTATGTCTTCTAAATAGTTGAAGACTGTTATTATGTATCCAGCCTCAGTCTATTCCTTTTAATACTTGTAATCCATTTTTTTCCATAGGCAATGTCTCTCTTTCTTGCAGGTAATCAGTCTCCCACTCTTCTCTGGATCCTCAGCTGCTGGTCCACAGTGAGCAGGACAGCAGACTGCATTCACACCTCCGCCTGAAGATCGACCTAAGCAAAGTAAAGCTGTGACTCCACAAGCCCTACGAACTTCTGTAATCGATCTCATTCTCAAAGTTACCACTGGGGACCAATTTAGGAGCACTAAGCTCTGAAGGGAATTTACAAGCTTTTTAACGTCATTCTGAAATACACATTCTGCAATTTCCAAGTCAGTTAGAAAACATAACTTTTTAAAATTCTATCTAATTAAGGGATCAAAAACTAGGGATATCAGTTCTTTCAGCTACAAATAATGTTCATAAACTAGCAGCTGCTACTTATACCCCTTTCACACTACAAAATGACCCCAGCCATTTGATTCAAGATATACCTGCACAACTGTTGTGTGTTAGAAAGCAGCTGGAGGGTGAAAGCATCTTTAATTTGAGCATGGCTGGTCTGTTTAATTCTGCTGCCTGATCAGCCTGCAAAGTACTACAAATTCTCCCTTTTTCAGTGATACAGCCTCTGGACACCACTAATAAGGTATCTGCCAAACAAAGAAACTCCCTTTGGCATCTCTTGCGGGGGAGACAGGACTTCAGTATAATAAATACAGGGAATTTATTCAGGCTCCTGAGCAGAAGCACTTCCTGCAGTCCTCCCTGGATCTTCCATTTCTAGACCACAGACAGCACTGTAACTAGTCAGCTGATGCTTAATCTTCACTTTCATGTGTTAGCATTCCACCTTTCAAAATTAAATTCACGCACCCACGTGCACAATACCCCCATGACTCTTCAGTCAGCACAGGAAAAGGAATGAATATTTAGAACCATGTCAGTGAGTCCCATTAAAATTTTTATACTATCATTTAATTTTTTCAGCTTAGTATATACCCTCATACTGAAAAGTATGTCAGTATGCAGAAATTGTCCAGGCAAAGCTGAATGTTTCAGAAAGTCAACAGAGATATGAAGCAGCTGAAACTCTTGATTTAAGGAGCACGTGATTAGTCTTGGCAACTAAAAATAAGTGAAGCTTTTTGGCAGAAATAGGGGAGACTGTGACTGGCTTTAGATTTAGAAGAGGAAGACCTCCCCATGCACAGATACCCACCTGTTCTACATTCCATATCTAAGAAGACATATATTAGGCTGAGAGCCACTGAAATGGGCAACTGTTGAACTCATAGAGTTTAAAGGCACAAAAAAAAAACAATCAGGCACTTACTTACTGAACTGAAATGACGGCAGATAATTCAATACATAAACACTTTCAACCAGTCGGCATGCTGAAAGCTATGCAAGTCCTTGCAACATTAAGCTCAGAGCAGAAACAGTTTGCACCTAAGGCAAACTGCACCTGTATTACTCAGCTACCATCTTTTACCCAGACCCTCAGTCTTGGGTGATGCCAAACAGCTCTCAACTTTGTACAGCAGATATATAGCTGGTTATGTATTTTATTCTATTCTGCATCAGCATTTTCCGTCATAGAAGGAAGACAATGCCAACACTCAGGCATGGATGAGCAAGAGAGGACACTCCTTTTTTTCTTGAGAAGCGATTGGCCTGCCCTAAGTCCTTAAATTTACCAGAGCAGGGGAGTTAAAGGTGCAATCCTAAATGGAGGTAGGATCAGGAAACCTATGGGTTCACTTGGAAGTCAAATAACGCTTTGTAACAAAACTGTCATTATTAGCTAGAAGTTATTTCTACAACTAGAAATTTTCTAGGTACAGATTTGCCTGTCAAGCAATGGAGAAGTTAGCTGTATAATCCATTTGTCCGTGATTCCTTATGCCCAGGTGCCCAGCTGGAGCTGTTTGGAGTTTGTTTCCTGATGTTCAAAAATCACTGAACAACAGTCATCAAAAATTCAAACTCTCAAAATGCAAGCTGCGTGAAGAGCTGCCCAAACTACCTCTTCTTAGGCACTGTAAAATCAGAGTTGACAAATAAATTTTGTCTGAAGAATTAAGAATATTGTTCTTGGTGTTTAGCTTCATCATTTTCACCTGACTAAAATAAAAAATCTTGGCCACCTAAATCTTCACCCTAATCTCTGAGATAATCACACAGTGTTTGAGAGCTGTGAGGAAAGATTAGCTTGTGCATCCGCCATCTAAATCACTTTTTTTTTCTTGAAATATTAATTAAAAAATAACATTATTTATATGAGTTGCTAAGGCTCCTAAAGTTTTGTCAGCATGATGACCCTACCTGACTGTACAATGTAAAAATAACAATCAGAAACATTGCTTCAAACAATGATTAGCTCAGAAGTTCCCATGTTAATATATTATCTCCTGCAACTGTTAAAACACGGCTACGGCGTCGTGTGTTGCCGCTGCTGCCCTCACTCCCTCCCCACAACACCCGTGCTCGTCGCCTTGCATTAGCCCCTTAGCCTGCCCCTTTGAGCTGGATGCTAGCTGAAATATAGCTACTATGTGCATATGCCTCTCCTTGACTTTTTTACAGGCTACCACAGACTTATTCTGTAAGTCTCATACCGAATCACGCTGCCTCCCTTGTATACGCATGAGCAAGTATATGAGGAACCCAGGTACCTGATTAGAAGCTGAGAATTTATACAGCAAAGCAAGATATATATTACAGGATGCTTACAAATTTAGCTTAGCGTCAACATTCAGAGTAATTTTAGAGGGCTTTAGTCTTCATATATCTTTGCTATTAAATGTGCAGTAATCTGATTACCCAGTCGCTCAAACAGGTGTCACTGCACAACTGTACAGTTCATTAAAATCACTTCAGAGCCCAAAGCTTAGAAAATATTCCACTCAACACCACTTCTTCAGTGAAATCCAAGTAGTTGAGACACAAATATGTAACAAATTCAAAAGAAGTACAATATATGTTAATGTATATTTGGTACATTGATTTCTTTTAACCTTAATTATTACCAGAGAATTAATTATTTATATTATAATATTTTCAGAACAGTAAAGACAAAAGCTTAACTATTCATACATTCCATCCCCTTCTTTCCATTCAGCTCTTCCAATCTGCATTTTCATTTCTTATTTAATATTGACAGGGAGAAATTAACTGCATTAATTCCATAATTCTAAACTAAGGAATCTAAATTTGATTTCTAAGACATAGCTGCTTTCTGATTAATTTCATTCGAGAACTTTCTCCCCTGAAAAAAAACCTTCAGGCAAAGTTAGATGTGACTACATATTTTGCCTTTATTGGGATAAACTTCTCAGGAAAAAGTCTGCTTCCTTATATGCCTTTTTTTTTTTAGCACTTTCAAAGTAATTAATGAAGTCAAAAGGTCTTTCATGGCATCACATTCCAGCCATGTTAACACCTCCTGCTTTAATCTCCACTTTCTGAGCCTGGAGTAAATAAATGAAACTTAATTTAGTTCAGTGAAATAAATTAGTGTAAGAAAAATAAAGTCTATCGTGCACTTCATTCACTAATCTTATACATGTTAATGAAACTTCATGCCAGTGGTGTATCTCTCCCAAGATAAATATAACACTATTCTATACAACTGCAAAAACATTAAAATAAAGTGAGAGGGGGAAAAGCTGGCTTATTGCCAATTTCAAACAAAGTGGAAATATGTTATTCTCATACACAGCAGGTTTACAAATTTTGCTGTGAGCAAAACACATTTTTGCTGCACCCTTCCCTAAGTAATTTTCCCAGGATAGAATATGGTTCTTCCTTGAAGAATTTTTCTTTGCAAAAAAATGCTAGAACTTTTTTTTCTTATTTAAGCAGTTTTGTGGAGTACATTACAATGAAATATCCTCTCCTAACCACCTAATTATTCCAGCATCTACAGAAATCAGAGACAGGTAGTGGCAAAGTAACAGTTCTAAATTCTTCCCTAAAGGTTTCTTTCCTCCACACTTACGGAGCCTGCTGGATTATGTGCTAGCCAAGTTGCTCAGAGACATTCACCTGAGAAAGCCAGAAGATTCTTCCTTTTGAACTAAAAGTCAGTGAACAAATCATCATTCATTTCAGTGGGATATAAAAAAGCCTTGAAATATCTTTCTCAAGTAAAAGATATTTATTAGCAGCACATTGTCCAAACTGTTGTGTCATTCTTTAGCAACACTGAGTCTAGCTCCATGGTATGCAAAAAGAGAAGAAAACAAAAAAATTCTGTCACACAGCAGTTCATCCACTGCAACTGGAGCATATCACAGCACAAGCCAGCTCTGTGCCACTTCTTAGACAAAGTAAGAAGCAGATGTTTTTCCAAGTCCTAAGTGAGTAACAGGAGAAAAGACCTTCATGCTAAGGAGCGACGTCTGTACTGCAGGTTGTGTGGTCATCTTCAAGCTAGCTAGTTGGGATAGCCCTAGCAGCACAGGCCTAGCAGCACAGAGCTCAGCAAAACCCCATGAAGTAGAAGCGCTAAGAAATAAAATAAATATTCAGTTAATTAGTCCAAAGAGAGCTCTCTTAGCTGGCATGGCCAAAGTGCTACCAGTCCTTGGGCTATGTCCCTTAAAGCTGCTACAGACCATATCCTTAGCAGCCTTCAAAAGCACTTTTTCCTTTCTGTTCCACCCTAAGTGCATGCAGACCAATAAGGCACTGCTGTTGATTTGTTTTTGTGTATGAAACTGACAAAATAATGTATGTTCACCTGATCTGCATGCTGGAAGGATTGTGTCCTTTGCTTTCTGTTTAGATTGCATAAAGTAAAAGCAAGCTGGTCTCATGCTTGTGAGTTAAACAGTTCACCAATATACCACATTTTGCTGTGTATAAAGCACTTTTCAGATGCAGAGAGAGCAGGGAGACAAAGGGGCACCTTCCTCTGAATTAGCTGCTATGGAAGCTGAATACAAGGCTGGGTAAATCTGTGGCTTAATCTATTATAGTAAATCAATGTTTTTATATTTAGTCCTTCTCAGTGTACAGACAAAAATAAAGTAAAAATCTAATACAGTAGAGGTAAATAAAGCTTTAAGATGGTTCTTCTCAGCAGATCCATGATGATAAACTTGCTGCATTAAAAAAAAAAGATACTTCCCCAAGCAGTCACTAAAAAGCAGTGCATATTAATGT